TGATTTTGAACCATCCAGTGTCTCCCTGCTCTGTTCTGACGACTGCCTCTTGGTCCAAGTATAGGTTTCGCATTAGCACAATCAAATGTTCTGGGATTCCCATTCTTCTCTGAGTCAGCCATATCTTGTTGTGATCCACACAGTCAAAAGCCTTTGCATTGTCAATGAAGCACAGATAGGCATTCTTCTGGTATTCTCTGCTTTCTTCCAAGGTCCATCTAACATTAGCTATAATATCCCTAGTACCACACCCTCTTCTAAATCCAGCCTATACGTCTGGCAGTTCTCTGTTGACATATTGTTCCAAATGTTTTTGGATAATTTTCAGCAGAATCTTGCTTACCAGAACCAGACTGGTGTAGTGTTTTATGTGGGGTGTGGTTTTGTGTGTGTGTGTGTGTGTGTGTGGTGTTTTTTTTTTCTTGTTGTGTACTGTCAAGTCCGATCCAACTAGCACAGGAAACTGTTCTTCCTTCTCTAGTGGAGCATCTGGTAGATTCAAACCATGCACCTTTGAGATTGCAGCGCAGCTTCTTGTCACTAGGCCACTAGAGTTCCCTTGTGTTTTGTGTTTTACTACTAACCAAAAGGTCAGCAGTCTGAATCTACCACCAGTTACTTCATGGAAGAAGGATAGGCAATATCCTTTCCTAAAGATTTATAGCTATAGAAACCTGATGGAGGTTGGCTGAGTTGGTAGTGACTTGACATTAATGGCTTGGGTTTTGTACCAGCCTCTAAGGATCCCTGGTGGTGCAATGGTTAAAGTGCTCACGTGTCAACCAAAGTTAGTAGTTTCTGTGAGTAGGAATCACTTGACAGCAATGGGACTGGGACCAGTCCCTGAGTTGTGCCAATGATTAGTATGCTAAGCTGCTAACTGAAAAGTCAGAAGTTCAAGTCCAGCCAGATTTAGTGGAAGAAAAGCTGAAGACCTACTTTCAAAATTCAGCTACTGAAAACTCTATTGGACACAGTTCTACTCTTGACTTACCTGAAGGCACTGTGCTGATTACCAATCAGACTTAGAAGATACACATAAGATACAACAAACCTTGAGAGACCTAAAGCGGAAATAAAACTTTTTTACTAAGAGTTGGTTCTGTGCATTTTCACTTAGAAGCAGCCCATAGCTGACCTTTCAATGCATTTTCTGAGACAGTAAAATACATCGGAGGAGATTGCCCTTCCTTTTCCTACGGATCAGCTGGTGGATTTGAACTGTGTACCTTTGCTTTGGCAGAGCAATTCCTTATTTCTTACCACCAAGTCAACCATGCCCCCTTAAATGAAATAACAAAAAGAAAAAAAAATTGCATCTATCTATTAGCTTTTGAAACAATTTGGGGTTAAAAAAAAAAAAAAGAACTCAAGCTTATTCCCTACAATTGAATTCTCAGAGTTTTAAGGCCTGAAAGAAGATGAGTTGGAAAAGGAAGAAAGGGATGTGAGAAGGTTACTGAAGAAAGTAAATAAAAAGTCAACAACTTTGTGCCAAGAAATCTGGAGGACACCCACCTGGCCAACTGACTGGAAGAGATCTATATTTGTTCCCATTCCAACAGCACATCAACAGAGAACTGCCAGATGTGCAGGCTAGGTTAAAAAGAGAAGCTGTAGTACTAAGGATTATAGCTAATGTTAGATGGATCTTGGATGAAAGTAGAGAGTACCAGAGGAATGTCTATCTGTGTTTCATAGACTATGCAAAGACATTTGACTATGTGGATCACAGCAAACCGTGGCTAACTCTGAGAAGAATGGGAATCTCAGAACAATTGTGCTTATGAAAAACCTATACTTCGACCAGGAGGCAGGTGTCAGAACAGAGCAAGAAAATAATGCATGGCTCAAAATCAAAAAGGGTGTATGCCAGGAATGTTTCATATCTCCACACCTTTTCAATCTATATGTGGAACAGATTATCTGGGAGGCTGGGCTCTACAAAGAGAAATGTGGCACCAGGAAGACTAATCAACAATCTGCATTATGCAGATGACACAACCCTGTCTGCTGAAACTGATGAGGACCTTAAACACTTGCTGTAGAATATCAGGGACTGCAGCCTTCAATATGGATTGAGGCTCATTATCAAGAGAACAAAGATTCTCGTCACTGGGCCAATTGGCTGCATCAGGATGGATGGTGAAGAGATTGAGATCATTAAGAGCGTTAGTTTGTTTGGCTCCACAATCAACACTTTTTGTACTAACTTCCAGGAAATTAAAAGACAAACTGCATTGGGAAAGTCAGCTGTCAGAGATTCTCCCAAGTACTGAAGAACCATGACATCAGTCTGGAGACTAAGGTGCGCCTGATCCAGGCCATAGTCTATGCAATTACTTGCTATACATCAGAAACTGGACAATGACTAGAGATGACAGAAGGAGAATTGGTATTTTTGAGCTGTGGTGCTGGAGAAGAGTATTGAATATATCATGGACTACTAAGAGAACAAACAGGTTTGTCCTAGAGAGGGTGAGATCAGGCTGCTGCTTGGAGGCAAGGATTCTGAAGCTTCATCTGACATACTTTGGGTATGCTGCAAGGCAGGACGAGTCCTTATAGAGAGACATCATGCTTGGGAGGCTGAAGGGACAGTGCAGGAGAGGAAGACCCTCTATGAGGTGGATTGATTCAGTGACTGGGGTAATAGAGGTAGATGTATCAGAGACAATAAGATTGGCGCAGGATAGAGCAAGGTTGAGGGCTGTTGTACATAGGGTTGCTATGAGTCACAGGCGACTCGATGGCACCTAACAACAACAACTTTCAGGAACGAACTGTCAGGAAAAGTATTGCCGGAAAAGAACTTTTAACTTTATATCTGTTGAAGGTACAGTATAAAATCTGAGGGAAAGGGAAAGCATGCAGGTAATGCTTATAATCAAGAAATTTTTTGTATTATTCATCAAAATCCTATTAAAAGATTCTTTCAATTTATACAGAGCACATCTTTACCATAATCAATTGTGGTATATTCCTGCACAGAAATAGTTAAGTGTAAATTGCTCTACGGAATTCTGCTACTCAGCAACATATTGTTGGATACTGCAATGATATAAAAATTTTCAAAAGCTAGTTTTGAATAATAAGTCTTTAAATAAAAGGTCAGACTTAAAAAGAATGAGTAGATGGCATTTTTTTTCTCCCCAGGAGAGTTTCATCCTTCAAACAGAATTAAATGTCACAAAAATTAAGCAAGTAAAATTTATAGATATATAAGCCTTAAATTAATAGGGTAGCTCTGGTGGCCTAGTGGCAAGAAGCTGCACTGCAATCCCAGAGATAGGCGGTTCGAATCCATCAGATGCTCTACTGGAGTTGGAGGGGCAACCTCCTCCTGTACCAGTCAGATCTGATTTGACAGTACACACAAAAAAAATTAAGAAAAGCAAAACCTTAAATAAAGCTTCAGATATTTTGTTAAAATTTAAATCAATCACTCAGAACACTATAAGGTATATAGATAGTTACATGTCCAATTATAGGTTCATAATTCAAAAACTTTACTGAAGATCACCAAGAGTTTGGACCTACTCCATGGCAGTGAGCTTGAGTTGTTTTAGATTTAGATTAAGGATTTTACGTTAGTTAGGAAATTAAATATATAAAATTTAGATCAATCACCCTCCTTACTTACTACCTCAGGTGGCTTAGCGGTAAGGAGTTGCATTGCCAACCCAAAGGCACGTGCTTCAAAACGACCAGTTGCTCTACAGGAGAAATATGGGCAACATTTTTGTGCAGTGTATTGTCTCTGAAAACCCACTGAATGGTCAGCTATGAGTTGGTTCCAAAGCAAGGATACAGACCAACAACAGCAGCAGAAAAACACTTTTAGCTATATTTAATTTCTGAACTTCAACTTAAACCTCAAAGAATTCAACTCCGACCTCAAAGAATAAAAATTAGCCAGCACTGCCAATAATATACTACAGAACACTGTATAAAAGCTTAACATAACTCATTCCAAAAACTGCCCTAAAAACATTATGGAAATAAAATTATGTACTTCAAATTTTCACCTTTTGGAAAACTCTGAACAAGCAAAACAATTGCAGCAGCCAAAAATCATCTTAGCTGAATTAGAAAAAGGTCTCATTTCAATAAAATTTATTTTCTTTTAAAAAATATACTAGAATTAAAATGACTCAAAATAATATCTGTTCGGAAAATATGTTGTTGATATCTTTAAAATGCATAATATGAAATATGCTACGTAAATATGCTTCCATGAGTCACCCCATACAAGGGGGCAACTCTAGATCCTGAAAACCATTAGTAGCTACAGGCATTTACAATACAAAAGGCTTCAAACTCCAGTCTACTTTACAAATAGTTGGAATAAATTGAATTGCAAAATGGTTCTAATCTGACCATGATGAAAATGTAAAATACATTTTAAGAACCCAATTAAGATGAGTAAAAACAATATCCACGGGTGCGGACTGAGTGAAAGATGTATATAGTAGCTAGTACTATTGCCAGATGGGGAGAAATTGTTTAAACAGTGTAGTTTTTAAAGACTTAGGGATTCAAATGAATTTATTATAGCATTCCTCGAGTAGGAGAATGACGAAAATATTTGGTTCTCATTCCTTTGATGTCGCAACAGTTTTTAAATTTCCACTTTTTTGTGAAACTTTGAAATCATGCTTCACAGCTGTCTAGCCAAGTACTATATTTAACAAGTCAGTCAAAGTGGCGACCAGGTGAGGAAAGTGAGAAAACAGGAGAAGGGCAAATGATGTCGGAAACAGACAGATTACTGTTAGCAGCGAGGTGTCATGAGGATGAGTGAGAATTAGAAGAGCCGCACACAGGCAACGCAGGAGAAAGGGAAGATCTGGAGGTAAGTAAACACAGGTTAGGGAATAGAAGAAACAGTGTCCGAAGAGGAAAGATCTATCAAAGTGAGGAAGAGAATGGTCAGGGCAGCTGTGCGAGGTTAAGAACAGCCAGCCCACCCTCCCGCCTTCCTCAGATCCCGGAGGCACCTGGAATGAGAGTTCCGAAGAGACTCGATCAAGCGCTGTTTCTGCTGCTGAAGGCTGGTGAGGCCACCCGGAGACCCCGCTGCGGAGGAAGAGGCGCTTTTGGTCAGCGGAAAGAGCCAGCTCATCCTCCTCGGTCCCCGGGCCCGAAGGCCTAAATGCTCTGGCTCGCTTCGCCCAGCTGTTCAGTCTGGTCGTTCTCCACCAACAGAGGCGCGGGCTAGGGAGCCCGTGGCCCACGTACCGAGACCGCGTCTTCTCTAAACAAACCCAGCTGAAGGGTCCTGGGTCCTGTGGGATAGGCTGTGTCTCCTGGTTGATAGATAAAGTGCAGTTCACGACCCGGGACAGTCTGCAGTCTTACATTGCCGGGGCCGCCGTCCAAGTGAGTGAGTGAGGAAGTCTGACAGCCTATTGCTCTGCCTCTCCAGCTTCCGTCACCTGCGTGCCCCACGCCCCTCTCGCGCGCTCCTCCCTCCCTGCGTGTTACGTCATCATCTAGCGCCTTCATCAGGGCGTGCAAGAGGCGACGGCGCAACGCGGTGCGGCGCAGCTCCGGCTCCGCTTTTCCCCTTGCCGGGTGAGAAGTGTCTATGGGGCACCCGTTGCCGCCGCCGCTGCCGCCACCGCCGCCGGGTGCTGTCTCTATGGCGAGGAGGAAGAGGAGGAGCGCCAGCTCAGCAATACAAGTAGTTTTTGCCTTTGCCGCAGACCGGGGGGAGGGGCAGCTGGGGAAGTAGAAAGGGGGCGGGAACGATGAACCTGAGAAGGTGGATGATGGCGCTCCAACTGGAGCGCCGCTGGCACTGGAAAGGTGGTAGCTCTGGTGTGTAGATGGATGTGTGTGTGCAGAGGGTGAGCTTGGCTATGTCACGATCTTGACGCTGAATGATGACGTTGAAGGCTTTGTACCTGGGGCTTCGATGTAGTGGGGCGGAAATTGGGAGTGGAGGGCGGTGGCCTATGTTCGCTCCTTCTCTTACTCCTTCACACAATGTTTGGTAGTCAGGCTGGTTCCAGTGAATTATCATCGCTTTTGCACTGGCATTTTACTCGAGAGAGAGTGTTCAGTGAATTAACTATCTCTCCGTGGTCCCCTCATTTCTGTGAAAGCCAACATTGCGGAAACGAAACAAAAAAACCCCAACACACCTCTGGTGCCTCTTCGGAGAGTCTGGAACTACTGTAAATAAACCGTTGCTTAGCTAAGGGGTCTTTGTAAAAGATACATGTATGTATATATGTGTTGTATTTGAAGGGTGAAGAATAAGGGGAGTAAAGGAGAAGTCCTCTGAATTTCTTTCGGTTTTTGCTCTTAGAGCTCTCGAACTTACCTTTGTAACAATGCAGTTAAGAAAGGGTCACAAGACCCTCCTCTTTTATCCCTGAAAAATGAAGGTACAGTTGGAATTTCTCTGCCCGAAATTCAAAAGGTTGGTTTGTGTTGCTAATATGTATATCATGAACTCAGTGTTGATGGTTCAGAAACATGAGCTATGTGTGATGTAATGAGGGTGAATGCAACACTTTTTAAGGAAATTGCAAACAAAATTTTAAATGCACACATTTGCTGTCAAGTTGTAATTTTCAAATGGTTTCTGTGGCCATCTGTTACTTACATATGGAAAAGAGAATGCCTTTGCACTTAAAATGCTTTCTCCTAGAATATGTCTTCAGTACATAGGGTCGCTATGAGTCGCAGGCGACTCCACAGCACATAACAACAACAACAAATGGGAGCCATTTCTGTTATTAAGTCAGATTTTTAATGTATTTTTAAGGAGGATTAAAAGTAAATTCTGTTTTTGTACTTAATATTTTATCATCCATTTGATCAAGATGTAACTTCATTTTTATCTGAAAATTTTTCTATAATTTTGTTGTAAAGACAAGTTGTATTCTTGATATCTTTAATTAGAAGATTTCTTTTCTAAAAAGCTAGCAATGCAATATTTTTTTAAAAAAACAAAAACAAAATTAGAACTAGGAAACTTGTGCTGTAAGTCTGGCTTTTCTACAGATAAGCTGTATAGACTTAGGGAAGACATTTCCTAAATGTTGATTGCTTATTCAAAGCACATTCTTATTCACAAGACAATCTCTCAGGTTTCTACTAAATCTTACTATTCTGTGATTCCAGGTTTTTTTTAATATGATGGTTTTCACTTTTTCTTTAACAGGAATACAAATAAAGGATAAAATATTTTATGAAACACATCTTCAATCAAGTATAACATTTGATGCTTGGCATCTAGCCCCCTTGTGCCCTCACTATGCCAGCAGCTACTGTAGATCATAGCCAAAGAATTTGTGAAGTTTGGGCTTGCAACTTGGATGAAGAGATGAAGAAAATTCGTCAAGTTATCCGAAAATATAATTATGTTGCTATGGTATGGCCATGATCAAATGCTTCTTAGAAAAGGGGAGATGGGGCTTGAAAATGTCTTAGATTGGGCCTTTCTGATTGGTTTTTGGAGACTAATTTAATTATGAAAAGAAAATGTTAATGCCCCCTAGGCAGAGACTTCCAGGAAGGAAAACACTTCTGTTGACACTCGTAAAATTTCCTTCATTCATAGCAACAAATGCTATAGGGAATCCTGAGATATTTGTCTTTGAAAGTGTTAAAAATATTTCAGAGTTCAATCTTATGGAAAGTGATTTTAGGGTTAAGGAAATAGGGCTTTGACATGAATTGAATGATGTCAGCAAACAGAGGTAATTATTGGGTATCTTATGAAATCTTATCTAAATCTTATCCAGAATGACTAGAATGAGATTAAAGATGTAAAGAAGCAGCAGTTATTCATATTAGCCAAGATGAAGCAGTTATTGGTCATTTTTAGGATTTGAAGAATGTTAATATTTTTGTCTCTGTTCTGATATAATTACAGCGTGATTTTTGTTTTATGTTACTGTTCTGTGAATTTTTTTTTGTTTTATGTTACTGTTCTGTGAAATTGTTTACATATAACAAGAGAATATTTGGGTCTAATGGTGAGTTACCAGACACCCTCTAGAGAAACAGGGAGGCTTGCTGTTTGTACATATCAACTTCCAGAAGCTGGGGAACTCCCAATGTCATTTTTAGACAAAAGATCAACCAGATCTCCCCGTGAAACATTATTGTGTTGCTTTTTTTAAAAAGTCATCATTGAGTTCCATGAATACACTGTGCTGTTAATAATCCTTGCTTTTACCTGCACAATCTAGTGTGCCTAGACTATGTAATTCCCAATTAATTTTTCCATACTGTTTACTCTGAACATCTGTGGCAGGTACTCTTCTGTTCTTTCTCTACACTGTTAGTTGTTGTATAATATTAGGGGTTAATGTTTTAGTCATCCTTCTCAACACCTGTCAGTGCTTTCTCTGTCTCTTTTACTGATGTCGGTTTGAAACTAGCTGACACTCCAGCAGATTTTCAAGGCTTTAAATCTTACATTAAATTGCACATCTTTGTCCCAAAGGGCCACTGGTGGGTTCAGACTACCAAAAAAGTGATAATCCCCCTTGGGTTAACAGTGTAATTAACTCCTTGTGGATTAGATGGATTTTAGAGATGTTTTAATGTCTTGCATTTTTTTTTTAATAGTATAACCTGATATTTAAATTTTGTTCTGAGTTAGTCCTGGTTTTAATAATAATAATAATGTTGAGCTGATAAGCGGTTCCCCCCTCCCGTTTTTAATTTTTGTGTGTGTAGGAGCAAATTTGATGATTTTAATATGCATGGATGATACTTCACTTAATAAGGGTACAGTTGCTGTGTCCTGGAAAGCTATTTCCAGCTCATGACAACCCCATGTGAAAGTAAAACTGCACCACAATGTTCCTAGGTTTTAAATCTTTGAAGGAGACAACATTACCAAGTCTTTTCCCTACAAAGTAACTGATAGATAATATCAACCAAGCTTTTGTGTGTAGCTGAATACTTTTCTTTGAGAGCACCTTAGTAAATCAAACCTATTGATATAAAATCCTTTTTAAGTCATAGCAACTCTGTAGAACAGAATAGAACTGTCCTTGGTGGCTTAGTAAGGAGTTGTGCTGCCAACCCAAAGTCACATGGTTTGAATCCAACAGCTGCTCTGTGGAAGAAAGATGAACAGTGTCCTCCTGTGTAACTTACTGCCTCTAAAAACCCACTGGAAGGTCAGCTGTGGGTCAGTTCTGACCCAAAAGTGCTTAACAATTATCCCATAAGGTTTCCAAGACTAATCTTTTAAGTGCCACATATCTTTCCCGTGGACTGATGGGTGGTTTTAAGCCATGAACCATTTTGGTTATCTGCCGATGCTTAACCACTATGTCACCTTGGTTCTTGGAAAGAAGAGCACTTAGAATATGAAGTTCTTTCCTTATCTAGTAGAAATAGATAATAATTTCTTATATAATAAGGAGTGCAACATTTCAGAAATTATGTCCGAATGGTATTAAATTTTTACGTGTTTGTGTAGTATAGTGAGAGTATATAAAAGAGTAAGTCATATATAAATTTTCAATAAACACAGATGTTCTCTTACCTTGAAAAAAAAAAGAGTATTTGAGCTAATGATGTTTTTTAGGGAAGTTTTGCTGGTGTGTTAACTGTTACCTTGCTAACCAAAAGGACAGTAATTCGAATCCAGCAGCTGTTTATTGGGGGAAAACAATTTACAGTCTATTCCAGTAAAGATTTATAGCCTGGAGGTTGCTGTGAGTTGAATAAACTAGATTACAATAGGTTTGAGTATCTCAGATAAACAACTTAAAAATACGGTGCATTATCACTGTTTTTAACTAGTTTCTTTAAAACAAATCAAACCCCCTAATTTTGAGCATTAATACAGTTGAGCTTTTGTCTTGAGGAATGTGAGTTACGATTCTTTTCTGTTTTGGCAGTGTTACTATTTTTGTTAGGTGTTAAGTAGACTGCAATGCCTTTTAACCCTGAGTACAATAAATCTAAATGTTGGAGAAGAGCACTGAACAGCCCATGGACAGCCAAAAGACCAGACAGACATGTCTTGGAGAGGGTGCAGCCCAACTGCTCTTTGGAGGCAAGAATGATGAGGCTTTGCCTCATGTACTTTGGGCATGTTGCTAGGAGAGACTATTCCTTAGGGACGTGATGCTTGGAAGGGTGGAGGATCAATGGAAGGGAGAAAGACCCTTGACGAGGTGGATTTGATGTGGTGACTGCTGCAGTGGGTACTAGTCTATCAGGAAGTGTGAAGGTGGCACAGGATAGGACAGGGTTCAGATCTGTTGTTAATAGGGTTGCTATGAATCATACTCAACTCAGTGACATCTCACAACAGTAGTAACACTTTTCCAAGATTGATAGCCTTTTCCAGAGACTGACTCCTCTTGACAGCATGCCGTAAGCGTGAGACCTAGTGTCTCACTATAGTTGTCTTTTAAACAATCAGGCTGCACTCATTTCTATAAAGATATGTTTGGGTTTTGGCAATCTGATATACTCATTACTCTTCTTCATGAATCAAAGACTTTAGTAGTTCTTTTCTCTTTTCTCATTGCCCAGCTTTCATATGAGTATGAAACAATTGAAAATACCATGACTTGAGTCAGGGACACAGTAGTATTTAAATTGGTATTCTACACAGAAGATTTGGGCAATGCAATAAATTGCTGCTGTTTCTGTAACCATTCATTGTGGATCTAAGTAAAATGAATTTATTCATGACTTCAGTCTTTTCTCAGCCTGCCATGAGGTTGCCTATTGGTCCACTTGAGAGAATTTTTGTTTTCTATATGTTGAGGTGTAATCTGTACTGAAGGCTAGTTTTTTTAAATGATTTTTCCAACACTTTTTGTCATCTGTATCTGATTGTTGATGAGTCAGCCTCTAATCCCTCTCTGGTACATAGTACATACATTTATTATGTGTCCCTTGTTATGTGCCTTGAATCACCTGCGACTCATAGCAACCTTATGTATCTCTTACGTGTAAAAATGTGTATTGATGTGATACTTAAAAGTTCATTTAAAACTATTTATTGAAAGAAATTTGTGATTAAAATATTCTTTTTTAAAAAAATACTCTTTTTTTAAGAAAGGTATTTGAATATGAATGTGTTAAGATCATCTATAATACGATTTTTATTTTCAACAAAAATTAAGAGTTTTTGTGTTAATATTTTACATAACGAGTCTTCAAACTGTTTTACAGGACACAGAGTTTCCAGGTGTGGTTGCAAGACCCATTGGAGAATTCAGGAGCAATGCTGACTATCAATACCAACTTTTGCGATGTAATGTAGACTTATTAAAGATAATTCAGCTGGGACTGACGTTTATGAATGAGCAAGGAGAATATCCTCCAGGAACATCAACATGGCAGTTTAATTTTAAATTTAATTTGACGTAAGTGGAAGTAAATGCAACTCGAGCTCTTTTTAGTTTCATTTTTGAAATTTTTTTTTTTAAGTAGAATTAATTTTTTATGACTGTCTTGGAAATACATATCACAAAATTTGGTTTCTTTTTTTTTACTATGGAATATTAAAAAATAAGAATTTTATTTTAAAGGTGTGGTCACCACTTTTGAAATGTGAAAATTTGCAGTATTTAGAATTGCTTCTTGATGGTTAACAGTTTTATAGCCTTAGTTTTACTTTCATACTTTTAGTTTTACAATTTTAAAACACATATACGTTGTTTTCATTTTCCTATAGATAAATTTAGTTGAGAGTATTTGGCAATAAGGATGATTTGTTACCAAACTGGCTATAAATTGGAAAAGTAACATGTTTGATATATTGTGAGCATATTACAATATAATAGCATCTTACCTGGTAACGTGTTTGTGCTTTAGAATTTAAGTGACGTGAAAAATACTAAAATAAACCTTAAGATAAATAATGTTAGTACCACTGTAAGAACCTCCTATTTTTTTCTAATGATAATATGCTTTTAGCATATAGATCTAATGAAAACCGAGGCATAGTTTGAAAGGATTGTGGTTTCACTGGTACAGTAGTATGGCTTATAATTCCATTTTATTTTTCTTGATTATCTCCATTCAAAAAGTGCTGTCTCTCTGAAACAGTAAATATTACCTTCTCTCCTTTTTTTCCAGAAGACAATCTTTTTCTTAATTAGTTGTTTACTGTTTCATGTATTTAATCTTTTTTCCAACCTAATTATTAGATTCTTTTTACTGTGATACTGTTGTGATCACATTACATGAAGAAGAGAGTGACCTACTATTGTTTCAGCTTTCATAAAATTAACAATTTCCTTTTCTGAAACATCTTTGTCTTATAACTGCTAGATTAAAGGATCTTTGCAACATATTTTTTATTTTTTTTATACAGAATGGACTCCTATGGTTGTATTACCAAAGATATTATGCTAATTTTGTGAGAAGTATTTTAAGAAAATGATTGTCTTAGATTAAATTGTGTCACCCAAAAATATGTGTGTGTTTATATGGATATTTTGTAATTATCTCCTGAGATTTGGTAACCCAATCAGTTATAAGAGAATTAAGCATGAGATGCAACACTCTTAATCCCATCTCTTAATCCCTGATCTCATGCAAGAGGAAAATGGCTTGCATCACCCTTTCTCTTAAGATAAAAAGAGAAAGCAATCAGAAGCATCAATACCACTAAGAAAGATGCCTAGTGGTGAAGCATGTCATTTAGTTCATGATCTTTGTATTGAGTTGTTCCTTCACAAGACCAGTATGAGAACTGCAAAGAATTCTGGGCCTACAGTGCTAAAGGAAGTAAGCAAGGCCCTTCCTTCAGACAGTCAGAAGAAAGCCTTCTAGAGCTGGCACTCTGAAATGGGAATTCTAGCCTCCTAAGATGTAAGAGAATAAATGTCTTTTAAAGCCGGCCACTTGTGTTATCTCTATTTTGGCAGTACTAGATAAGCAAGATAAGGGACCAAGATTAGAAATTAAAAAATAGAAAAGGTCAGTTGACATTTAAAACTGACCCTGCTTAATCTGGAGAGATTGACAGTGCAAGAGAAACAGAATATTGGAAATTTTGGAAAATAGTCAAGATGGATCTTAAAATACATATCATAGGCCATAAATTATGTCATACATCTACCAAACCACTGAAAGTTGTGGCACAACCAAGTTGACACATTTTTGGGAGAGGTGCATTTCAACCCATGACAGATATGTATAGTTCTTAGAGCCTTAAGCCTTCCTAGCATAGTTTGATGGGCTGCTAACCAGATGTCAATAGTTTGAATCCACTAATTACTCTAGGAGAAAACTGGACTATCTTCTTCCATAAAGATTTACAGCCTTGGGGAAAAAAATGGAGGGTCAAACTGAGCCAGAATTGACCTGATGGTATGGGTTTTTTTAAAGGCTTGAAGCTGTTTCTGTGATTTAAAAGCTGCCCATGCAGCAAGTGAAAGTAATTATATTGACAGTAGGAGTTAATTAGTTGTAAAGTGAAGGCATACTTACCTAACTTTAAATGGGATGTAAGAACTACCTTGATGGTGCTGGAGAATAACACTGAGCATCCCATGGACTTCAAGAAGAACAAGTATTTCTTGGGGAGGGTGCAGCCAGAGTGCTCTTTGGAGACAAAGAAGATGAGTCACCTCACATACTTCAGGCATGGTGCTGGGAGGGAGATATGTTCCTCAGAAAGATATGTTAGTGAAGGAGAAGAAGATCCTTGACCAGGTAGATTGATAGGGTGACTGCCACAGTGGGCTCTAATGTGTTAGGAAGTGTAAGGATGGCACAGGATAAATAGGACAGGGTTCAGATCTGTGTATAGGGTCGCTGGATTGTACTCTACTCAGTGGCACCTAACAGCAATAAGAATTACCATAAGAATTACCTTTAAGTCGGCGATATAGACTGTTGATGGACTTAAAGAAGAAAATGAAGCGTTTAAGATACAATTACATTGACAAGTTGAAGAGAAAGAGAACTATTTTAAAAATAAAAAGCCTGTCAGAATTGGTGACTGCTTTAATTTTGTATAGACCTCTTTGAAGTTTAGGAATTCAGGTGGTACAGTGATTAAAGCACTTAGCTGGTAACCAAAAAGTAATTCAAACTTAGCAGCTGTTCCACAGGAAAAAGATTGTTGCAGTCTGTTTCATATGACAACTTGAAACCATATGAAGCAGTTCTACCCTGTCCTGCAAGGTTGCTATGTAGTAATCAACTTGATAACAAAGAGTTTTATTTAAAGATTAAAAGGCAGTACTTAAGTCATGTGAATATACATACATTCCAGTAGCGCTTTGAATAATGGTATGACATCTGAAGCAGAATAAATACGGAAATTAGTATTGATGATCAGAACTGATCATGAACTCAGAACTGTCTCTGAGATTGAAAGAAAAGAATCTGAAGAGGAAGGAGTAGATGTAAAGAAGGATTAGTTGATGATTTGGCATCTTTTGTAAACAAGTAGACTAAAAGTGAACAGAGGAAGACAGGTACTGAAGGCTTAATGGAAGAAGTCTGCAACTATTGAGTGCTAAGGAGTCAGTAAGATATGTATAAGAAAGATATGCCAAACCAGATTGAGCCTCAGGCTATAATTGACTATCTAAATTTATAATCAGCCAAATCTTTACCATTTAATGGAAGTTTCTCCAGCTGTGCATAAAACCAACAAATTGTAGAAGAATGTTATTAGAACAGAAGTAAAGCAGTGGAATCAATAAGAGATGAAGCTGATACTTCAGGAATATTCTTTATAAAAGAAGTCTAAGGTAAGAAAATGGTGTAGAGAAGAGAAAGAAGATACTTGTTCATTGCTGTCCAGTTAAAATCAAGTCATAGCTGACTGACCCTCAGGCGGAGATTTCCTATCTTTTGCTTGCAGGGGCAGTGATGAGTTCAACCTATGGACTGTGCTCCCAGAGTGTTAATAATGTCTGTACTTAATAATTAGAAGAAGAGAACTTGTGATATTAGAAAAAGTCCCAAATTAGAACTCTTAGATTTGGCATAATGTATCATTCATTGTGTTGACAGCATTCAGAAAGTTATTGTTTTGATGTTTACTGTTGAACATCAGCATGATGTCATTAGTGTTGAGATACTTAAGTGTGAAATGAAAAGTTTTTTGCAGGTGATTATTAAAAGATCATGTTGTTGTTGTGTAACATCGAGTCAGAACTGACCCATAGCTGACCCTCCAGCAGGTTTCCAGAGGCAGTTAATTGCACAGAAGAACACCCATCCTTCTCCCTCTGAGAAGCTGTTGGATTTGAAACTCTTGCCTTTGGAATTGCACACACCTTCTTACCACTAGGCCACCAGAGTTCCCATAGATCACATGGAAAGAAAATGTAGGAGTTTTTCAGTCATGCATAAAGTTTTAATTTGAAGAGTAGACAGTGATTCCAAGCATATTATTTCCGTCTTCAAATTATGTGAGTTCAAGAAGAGGCCTTGTGGTTTAGTGGTAAAGAGTTACACTGTCAACTTTAGGGCAAGGTTTGTTCGATTCCACCAGCTTCTCCATGGGAGAAAGATGAGTATTCTCCTGTGCAGTTTATAGCCTCTGAAAACATGCAGGAGGTTGAGTTACGATTCAACAGCACATAACAATATAAGCATGAAAAATACTTTTAGATGAATGCTTTTTTTCCCTGTCTTTTTTTTTCTTTCTATTTTTTGACGTACAGGAAGATATAAGATAGTTGTTTTAGGAGGGTAGTGTATTTAGGTGAAGAGATGAAAATTAAAAGTAAATTTGCACTGATAACAGTGATCACTTACTTCATATGTAATAGATAATTCATTTCATCAAGGGAAGGCTGAACAAATACTGAGTATTCTGAATATTGTATGGTGATGGTGGTGGCTGGTGGTATTCATAGAAAGTTCCAACTCTAAACTATTTTGGCCATTTGGCTGACTTACCATCTTAATTGTTGCATGATCATCTCTAGTAGAAAAGCAGTTTAGTCTTTCTACTAAAAAGTAGAAAACCACTTTGAAATGATTTGACAGTTTTTATAGAAAAGTAATTTAGTGACTATTTAAGGTGGGTTTAGGCCTACTCTTACATAAAAAGGATAGCCCATGTTAAAATTCTTTGTGGTAAATGGTGCACAGTGGTAATTTACATAAATAACCTAAATTAATAGTACAAATAGAATGAGTTAGTGGGTAGTTGTGATGCATAGCTGTGAGTTTCAGAAAATCGTAATGCCTTGCCTGTAGTGCATACCAGGAAATAAACGCATTGTACCAGTTCAGTTTTTATAGATACTTCTTGTACACCTATTTCCTTCTTTCATGTTGAAACTTACCTTTATTTAATATAATTTATAAAGGAACTTTAGTGAAAAGCTTTTTTCCCTTGCTTGCTTTTTCAGTATTATTAATGCATCCTGGGTTTCAATTCCAGGTTACACATTTTCTTTATAAATTCTTCATAATATTTTGCTTGTTAACCTAAGATACCCAATATAAACTGTACTGTATTGTACCCAATACAACTGTAAAGTGCTATTAAGAAGTTTTAAAGTGAATTTAGATCCTGGACAATTTTGGAAATGCTTTATTGCACCCCTTTACCCCTTGTCTGGGCTGGGCACAATCACATGCAATGCATTTTTAATGCTAGAGTTTTTAATTGGATTATTTTCTACTTAGATCATTTAAAATATTTTTAAATCTAATCTGTTAAAATTTACCCACTGCGATTGATCTTTAATTAGCACAGTATGGTGTAGACTATGCTATTTGAGTTTCTTATTTATATATAATAGGAAAATATTATTTAAGCAAATCTGTCATTTCCTAGATATGTGTGATTTTGAAATATTTATACATGGAGAAATTGATAAAGATTTACACTATTCCTCAACATCTTTTACATTTTCAATATTTTATAATGACAAAGCTCACTGTCCAGTGAATTCTTACTCATAGGAACCTGCCACTGGATTTCCAACTATGTACATCTTAACAGCAGGAGACTGAAAATTGAGGTGTAATATATATCTAAAGAATACTGAGTATATTATACATGTACAATTCATGATTTTTCATTGACACCACCTTGAAATCCAGATCCACAACCACCACTCTTGTACTAGCAGTCAAGAGACATAGTGCGTTCGGCAAGTTTGCTGGGAGTGACCGCTCCACATTACTAAGGAGCCATGGTGTGAGAATAGATAAATTACTAGAGGGAAAAACAGTTACGGTTTGGTTGAGTCTGTGTTGTGAGTCAGAGTCCCTAGATAAATGATTTACTGCTAATCTAAAGGAGGTATGTATTATGTGTTTCACTGCTAACCAAAATAAATTTGAATCCACTAACTCCTCCAAGGGAGAAAGATGGACAGTCTCCTCCTGTAAAAATGTATAGCCTAACAAACTGAGGAGGACCTCATGCACTTGCTGCAAAGGGTCAAGGACTGCAGCCTTCAGTATGGACTGAGGCTCAATGTCAAGAAGACAAAGATTCTCACCACTGGACCAATTGGCAGCGTCAGGATGGATGGCGAAGAGATTGAGAGTGTTCACAGCTTCAGTTTGCTCGGCTCCATAGTCAACACTTTTGGCACCAGCAGTCAGGAAATCAAAAAGCGTCTCGCGATGGGAAAGTCTGCTGTTAGGGACCTCTCTAAAGTACTCAGGAACAACAGTGTCTCTCTGGAGACTAAGGTGCGCCTGATACAGGTCATGGTATTTGCAATCGCTTGTTATGCATCAGAGAGTTGGACAATGACTAGGGAGGACAGAAGGAGAGTGGATGCTTTTGAGCTGTGGTGCTGGAGAAGGGTACTGAATGTACCATGGACTGCCAGGAAAACAAACAGATTCATCTTGGAGAGGATTAAACCAAGCTACTCCTTGGAGGCAAGGATTCTGGGGCTTCGTCTGACATACTTTGGACATGTTGCCAGGAGGGACGGGTCCTTGGAGAGGGACATCATGCTTGGGAGGGTTGAGGGACAGCGCAGGAGGGGAAGACCCTCTATGAGATGGATTGATTCGGTGACTGGGGTAATCGGGATGGGTGTGTCAGAGGCTGTGCGGTTGGCACAGGATAGAGCAGGGTTTAGGGCTGTTGTGCATAGGGTCGCTATGAGTTGGAAACGACAGCACATAACAACAACAACAACAAATCCAAGAGGGTATGTTGAGTCTAACTGAATGACTTACTAGCTTCAAGATAGTTTGGTTTGAGCTGACTCAGTGATGCTATAGAAAACTGCTCTTCTAATTTGCATCTGTGAAAAATACCACCAAGAAAAAAACCATATTAGAAGGATTCTGCTCTGGTACGTGAAGTCCATGGGTAAGAATGTGTTGATGGCAGTGAATTTAGAGCTTTTCGTATTCGTTTGGTGTGCTGGGATAGGAATGAGGGAATGTTAGAAAGTTGGTTGAAAATGCTTTCCAATTGTAAAATCTTTAGGCTTCAAGTTTTAAACTTCATGTTTAGAACTATAAATTTATATAGAGTAGCTTAGCTTTCTGTGATCATAGAGGTAATTCACTGACTTTAATACGCCTTAGTTAGTGCCTTTTCGTTACCTGTGAAGGAAATAATTAAGTTTTCTGTTTTGGGGTTTTTAATAATGTCTTTGCAGAGCTTTCTATTTGACTTTGTGTCAGTTGTATTGGACTTTTTATAGCCTTAAGTAGTTAGTTGATCATTAATGTTTAGACATTATTTTTCATTATTATTTTAAACAAATTTACAGTCTGTAAACCAAACCATCACCTACAGCAGTTATGATATTTTGGCTAAATTTTACTTTTTTCCCCCCACTAGTATATTCTAATTGAATGCTTCCCCCCCCCCCCTTTTAGATTTGCTAGTATTTTTCAGGGTAGGAAAGGGGAAGCAGAAGCTATAAAAATTTGAAATGATGTTATGGGAACACAATAGTCTATTCATTTGAGAATTGAGTCATAACAGTTACAACATTTCCTTTACTACAGGACGTTTACTTCATTCTGTATGGAGATATAGCTTACCTGCATGGCGTTTCCCTTTCCTTTCTAATGCATTAGGTATTACAGTGCATGCAGTGGGGAGATATAGCTTACCTGCATGGCGTTTCCCTTTCCTTTCTAATGCATTAGGTATTACAGTGCATGCAGTGGGGAGATATAGCTTACCTGCATGGCGTTTCCCTTTCCTTTCTAATGCATTAGGTATTACAGTGCATGCAGTGGTTCCATATGGTAAACTATTCAGCTCAGTGTAATTTAGCTACAGTCCATTAATTTTTCTGAGATGAGTTCAGTGAACTGTTTAGAGGGAAGAAAAGAGAAAAAAAAATACCAAGAATTTAATGCTCCATGCCTTTACATATTGTACTTGATTATAAAACACCTGGGATACTTACCCAGGTTTTTTTAGTGAGAATTGATCTTTTTGGTAAGCTCTTTGAGTGAATGTCATAGAACAGGTCCGACAATACTGACAAAGTGCAACCCTTCACTATTGCACTTCATATTATTGTTTGTGCTCTTAAAAAAAATCTGGTGGTTTCAACGAGACAGTAAGAATCATTACTCTATTGACGCTATCATTCTTTTCTGACTGGGAGAATGAAAATAAGTGAAAGTAACACATGGTAGAGATTATGTGAGACTGAAGAATGAATCTGCCATGTCTTTGATTGGCTGTTGTTACCAAAGCCTGTGCCTCACTGTGAGTATCTTGACATGCTGAATAAGAGTCTAGTTGCTAAGAGAATATAATGTTTAAAATACCAGTCTGCAGACAGAAAGACTGGTAGTTTGACTCTGTCATCTGCTCAGAGGAAGAAAGCTAGGCAGTCTCTTCTCATAAGTTTACAGCCCAGGAAACCAGAAGGAGGGTCGCTCTAAGTTGGAACTCACACCTCAGCAATGAGTTTAGAAGGCCAGAATATCTATTTAATAGAAGAAACTTTTATTGGATTCATTCAAGTAGCTTAAGGTGACATCTTAAAGAATTTTCCTGGGAAAAATTTGATAAGTGGCCATTGTGTTTTTCCTGTTTTTAAATACTTCATTTTGACAAAAAGCTGACAGCTTTGCAATTTTAAGACTCTTATTGATATTCTGGGAATAAGTTGTAGGAATACTTTTTGGCCCAAGTGAAATGAACTTTTCATTTTAATTGGTTTTGTTTAAATTTTAATAGAATTTTCTTATTTGTTCCATAGTGCAGATTGACAGATAATGGACATTTTTTTATGTAAATAAAAGAAGTTAAATTCAGTGGCGAATTTGCAGGATATGTTTTTTATTCTCAGAGACATGCCATTTTTATAATTTCTTTTTTTGTTTAGTATTTTCGACACGTGCATATTTATGCTTGGGAATCAGATGTGGCTTTCCTTTCTTCTTCAGTGAAATCTTGAAGCATTGGTTGATACCTAGATGTCCTACTTTGGTTTTGGAAGCTCATATAAGGATAGAATTGTTGGAGGAAGGAATTATAGCTGTTATAGCAGGGTATTCATTTTAAAGTTTACTTTTCATTTGAACCATTTGAAAAGCTCATCATGGGAGACATCATCCCCTTTTTATTTCTGTTACAGCGTAGTTTAGCTCAGTCATGTCACACATTTTGCATTTCCTCCTCCTGGTGCTGCTGAGAGCATGGGGGATAAGTATTGGTAGGCCTAACAGCTCCTGCTAAGCACACAGTTCCAGTCTGCTAGCTGCTTCACGGAAGAAGGATGAGCGGTCCCCTCCAGTATGTGTCAGTTTTGACTCAGCAGCACACAACAACATATATAAGTATGTATGTATATGTTTACTTAAATAAATTTCAACAGTTAGAGCTAAGCTAATCTATAACTAGAGTAATCGGAGCTCCTCATTTATCTTTTTTTTCTGGCACTGTTGGAGAGAAGTGGAGAAAAAAAATTGTTTGAAATACGACACTTTTGAATATTTTCTTTCTCTTTCTCATGCCAGGGAGGACATGTATGCCCAGGACTCTATAGAACTACTAACAACATCTGGTATCCAGTTTAAAAAACATGAAGAGGAAGGAATTGAGACCCAGTACTTTGCAGAACTTCTTATGACATCGGGAGTAGTCCTCTGTGAAGGGGTCAAATGGTTATCATTTCATAGGTAAAAAAAAACGGCACTGAAATGGCACTTGTGTTACTATCTTGTACCTGCCTCACATTTGTTTGGGCCACTCTATCAGCAGTTTCAGTCTTAATTTTAGGAAGAACTGGCTGCAATATAGCTGTATTCTAATTCTACAAACCTCGTGTATATGTTTACTTAAAGGTAAATTTAGTAATGTTGTTGTGTTATTATGTGCTATCGAGTCACCTGCGACTCATAGCGACCCAATGCACAACAGCCCCAAACCCTGCTCTGTCCTGTGCCAATCTTACTGTGTCTGACACACTTACCCCCATTACCTCAGTCACTGAATCGGCTCACCTCATAGAAGGTCTTCCTCTCCTGCGCTGTCCCTCCATCCTCCCAAGCATGACGTCCTCCTCCAAGGACTGGTCCCACCTTGCAATAGGGAATTTATTTTAGTCTATGCAAAACTTAATATTTTAAATGTATATATAATATAATGGGAAAAGTACAGACTGGAAAAACAGAATGACTTAGATTTAAATCTAGTAAAGTCTAATGAAGGGATCTGTGAAAAGTGCAGGTGCAACAAAGTGGAGGCCAAGTCTGACTTTTGCCTGCTTCATGAACATGTACAGTACCATAAAATAACTATATACCACCCCATATGTTCTTGGACCTATTTCTGCGAATCATTGGGTCCAGTGTTCATTGTATTTTGACTCAGAGACTTTACTCACAGTTGTTGGGTTTATTAGAGTGGGAGTGAGGCAAAGAATATCGCACAAGCAAGTCCAGGTTTAGTCCAGCAGTCCCAAGCCATATTGTTTTTATGTGCTGCTGAATTGCCTGTGACTCTTACCGACCCTATGGTACAACAGCTCTGAAGCCTGACCTGTCCTGAGCCAGTCTGATTGACTCCTACACACCTACTTCCATTTCCCTGGTTACTTTATCAATCCATCTCATCCAGGCTCTTCCTCTCCTGCACTGTCCCTCCACCCTTACTACCATGATGTCCTTCTCCAAGGGATTGGTCACTCCTGGCCACATCCCAAAGTATATGAGCCAGAACTTCAAAATCCTAGCTTCCAATGAGAAACTTGGTTTCACCTGCTCTAGGACAAGCCTGCTTGTTTTCTTGGCAGTCCATGTGGTATGTTCAAGACTTCTCCAGCACCACAACTCGAAGGCTTTGATAGTCTTCTTTCATCGTTAGTCATTGTCCAGCTCTCTGATGAAGTAATCACAAAGACCACAGCCTGGATCAAGTGCATCTTAGTCTCTAGACTGACATCATTGCTTCTGAATACTCTGGAAAAGTCCATGACAGCAAATTTACCTAATGGAATTCGTCTTTGGTTTTCCTGACTGATGGTGCTAAGAGTGTTGATTGTGGAGTCAAGCAAGCTGTAGCTGATAACAGCCTCAAACTCTTCTCCATCCATCATGATGCTGTCAGTTGGCCCAATGGTGAGAATCTTTGTTGTCTAGATGTCAAGCTTCAATTCATATTGAAGACTACAGTCCTTGATCTTCTGCAGCAAGCACTTTAGGTCCTCTTCAGTTTCAGCAGGCATGGTTGTGTCATCTGTATAACAGATGTAAGTTGTTTATGAGTCTTCCTAAAATCCTGATGCCATATTCCTTCTCATAAAGCCTAGCCTCCCAGATGATCTGTTCTACATATAGATTGAAAAGGTATGGAGACAGAATGTATCCCTGACGCACGTCCTTCCTAATTCTGAACCATACAGTGAATACTTCCTGGTTCAAGTGTAGGTTTTGCATAAACAAAATCAAGTGTTCTGGAATTCCCATTCTCTTCAAGGTTAACCACAATTAGTTGTGATCCATACAGTCAAATGCCTTTGTATAGTTAAAAAAACAGATATCCCTCTTGTACTCTTTGTTTTCTACCAAGAGCCATCTGACATTGGTGCAGCCTCTTCTAAATCCAGCTTGTATTTCTGGTAGTTCTCTGTCAGTGTACTATTCAAGTCATTCCTGGATTATCTTCAGGAGGATTTTGCTTGCCTCTGATATGAGTGATATTATACAATAATTTCCACACTCTGTTGGGTCATGCTTTTTTGATTGAGTATAAATACGGATCTCTTGAAGTCACTTGGCTAGGTATTGTCCTCTGGGTTTCTTGGCACAACCTGGTGAACACATCCCAAGAGAGCATCTGTTTGTTGAAATATGCTGATTGGGTTTCCATCAATTCCTGGAGCTTTCTTTTTTGTCAAGTCCTTCAGAGCAGCCTGAACTTCCTCTTCCATCACCATTGCCTCTTTATCATACTTTGTTTCTTGAAATTTTTCTGTGTCAGCCAGTTCTTTTTAGTACAGTCTATTTTCTGAATCATTCAATATTCTGCCCATAACATCCTAAAGTATTGCAACTTGAGGCTTGAATTTGTTCCTTAGTTTCTTCAGCTTAAATGCCAAGCACATGATTTTTCTAACTCCAGCTCTTTGCACATTTCATTATAATCCTTTGTTTTGTCATACCGTGCTGTCTTTTGAAATCTTCTTTGAATCTTCAGCTCCTTAACTTACTGATTTCTTCGCTTTGGCTTCTCAGCACTCTAGTATAATAGCCAGTGTCTCTTCTGACATCCATTTTGGTCTTATCTTCTTCTTCTGTCTTTGTAATGACCTTTTGCATTCTTCATGGATGGTATTCTTGAAATCCTCCCACAGCTCATCTGATCCTCATTCATTAGTGTTCGAGGCCTCAAACTTGTTCCAGGGTTGGTTTGTAAATTCAGGTGGGATTGCTCAAGGTCAAATTTTTTATTCCTGTGTATTTAATTTGACCTTCTCTAGCTTTAATTTGAACTTGTATATGAGTAGTTGATGGTCTTTGCTGCAGTCAGCACCTGGCCTAGTTTTCACTGCTGATATTGAAGTTCTCCAGTGATTACTTCCACTAGTGTAATCAGTCAGATTCCTGTGCATACCTTTAGCTGAAATCCATGTGTATAGCTTGCATTTATGGTCTTATAAATGGTATTTGGCATAATTCCTCAATTCAGATAGCTTCTCAGTCAACAGGTGAAAATCTAGGTTCAGTTCAACAACACAAACCTCTGTTTTCTTCATCACCTAACGAACTATCTCAGAGCAGTTATAAGTCACCTTTTCCTTCCCTCATCCAACAAGCAAAACTGTAGCTCAATTTCCAAGGTTTTTAAGGTTACATCTTGCCACAGTTACTGCGTAGCAATACTAGTCTCTTCAGCCTAAGTCTACCACTGTCTCTTCGCAGCTTCACTGCAATCTTTTCACAGTGTGGAAAGCACTCTTATATTGGTCCCATAGCTGTTGGTAATTTATAAAACCATTTGTCCGCAGTTAAGGTAGCTGGAGATCTTGCCCCCAACCAGGATTATCACAGTGGCTAGAAAAGCCGACTTTCAAGTGTTCTGTCATCACAGAAGCTCTGATGGCTTAGTGATAAGAAGCTATGCTCCAGTTTTCAAGGCAGGTGATTCCAATCTGCCGGCTTCTGTGTGGAAAAAAGATGGACAGTCTCCTGTGCAATTAACTGCTACAGAAAACATGCTGGAAGGTCATCTGTGGGTCAGTTCCAATATGACAGAACGTAACAATGTCTAATGAGTTGTTACTACCTAGGATTATTTCCAAGGGGCCTCTAGAGGCTTAATAAGAAGTTGTGCTGCCAACTCAAAAGTACATGGTTCGAATCTACAAGTTACTTAGTGGGAGAAAGATGAGCATTCTCTGATTTAACTGCCTTTGAAAACCTGCTAGAGGATCACTTACGAATTGATGCTGTTAATAACAGCAACAACAGGGTTATTTTCAAGTATTCTTTCTGCAAGTTGTGTCATCTGCATAACATTGGTTGTTAATGAGTATTCCTCTGGTCCTGGTGCCACATTTTATTTATATAAATATAAAATAGAAAATATAAAAAGAATAAAAAAAAATAGAAAACATAGGGAGCAGTGTTACTGAAAATTCTTTAGACATAACCAGACACCTCGCAGGACTAACCAACTAATCTTGATAGCTGAGGACAATAGTCTCAGGAGACATTTGGTTCAATTGGCATGACACTTTTTTTATAGCTTTATAAAGGTAATATTCTACATCTTAGTTTGGTGTGTAGCTTCTGGGGTTTTAAATGCTTAACAAGCTGCCCTGTGAGATACAACTGTTGATCACTTCCTGTGTGACGCAAAGGATAATGAAGATTTGAGGAAGGCTTATGTCAGCCACAGTCCATTCTAGCCTGTGAGAACCGGATGTTGCCTTGCTAGCACTACTGACTTCTGAGTAGGAATGAATAGAAAAGTCCTTGTTAGGAGGAATGGAAAATAGAGAACAATCCTTAAAATTAATGGTAAAAACCCCAGGCTTCTTAAAGGAACCTCTAAAATTTGCCCGTAAGACATTCTTCATACTTGGAACCAAAGCTACTCCTAGAGGCTACCTTTCAGCCCAGTAATAGACTGGCATATAAAATAAACAATACCATTAACAATGGCTTCCATAAAATAATCAAATATTTCAACAATGATAGCCCCAGAAAGACATTTGTCCCAAAACAGAGATGAGGCACAGAAGAGAAGGGAAGGTGAGCTTAATGAATGGAAACTAGGAACCGTACGTGGAAATGAGACATGCTGACATGTTTCAGGTCCTTTCCAGGTGGATTGACTTCGTGACTGCAGCAGTGGGCTAGAGTGTCCATGATTGTGAGGATGGGACAGGGTTCAGATTTATTCCTAGGATTGATATGAGTTGTGCTCAGTGTCACCTAGCAACACATTTTAACTCAATGTAATAGTATAAGTTTAGCTGAAGTTGTTGAATGGAAGACTAATTTTTCTATGTAAACTTTCACTTAAAGCACTATAAAATGTTACTATAAAAAGTTTCTAGGAATTATTAAGCCATCAATAAACAGTGAAATCTTTGTCCTCATGGAATTTACATTCTAAGTAGGAGTGGGTAGAATAATTTTTAAAAAAATGTTAAATGTTGTATTGTGCTTTGTTTGTGATGTTTGAATCTGTGGAAGGAAAGAATAAAAAAAGCCAGCAAAGGTAGATAAATACCAGGGGTGGATGTATGGAAGCAAAGATCTTTAAGTTGTTCAGAGCCATCATTTAAGAAAAATTCTAGTAAAATTCTTTGAACACAATACATAGTAAGTAGAAGTTTGTGATTTTTATAAAATTGTTAAAGAGAATTTCTAGAAAGGAAGTCATTTTCAAGGTGAGACAGAGTTTTCCTGTTTTTTTGGTGGAGATGCTGGGGAACAAACCTGAAAGTTTGTGGGAGCCAGGGTCTGAAAAGTGGCCTTGAGACTGATAATATTTGGCCTTTTGCAATTATGTTTTGGCATTGTTAATATTGTGTAGCAGTAGTAAACTCACATTGATTTTCATTGTTTTTCAAGAGATAAGATTTATTAACTGTGGAAAGAATTTTTAGTTATTTTTACTTTGCTAGAACAGCGTTCAGATCTGTTCTTCATAGGATTGTTGTGAGTTGTACTCAACAGCTACTCGAATAGCAGGGCATGAGGATATAAAAGAACTTGAAAGTTTTATTTCTTTTATGTTTTTCACTTTAAAATATTCTAAGCAAATTCCTACCCGTTGGGTTCTGGAGGCTTTAAATCTTCATGGGGTCATGCCCATCTTTTGTAGAGTGAATCATGGATTCAGACCAGTGATCCTTGACATGTTGCACGCTGTGGTAGACACTTGAAATATTAAGAGGGAAAAACTGACATGATTCATGTCTTCTTACAACATAAAATCTTAAGTTCAACTCTGGTATAAGTAAATATTTGTCAGGATATATTCGATTTTATTCTACTAAATGCCATTAAATATTTTCTTTATACGCTAGTCTATTTCTTGTAAACAAACAAAGAAAATCATGATTAAGTCTGTGAATCCAAAACTCAATTATTAATTTTATTAGTTGTTGTTGTTGTGTACAATACAGTAAGAACTAATCCTCCGGTGGGTTTTCAGAGAATCAGTGGAAGTTGTTTGCCCATCTTTTTCCCACAGAGCAGCTGGTAAATTCAAACTTAGTACGTTTGCATTGGCAGCATGATTCCTTATTGCTAAGCCACATGTTGATCTGTATTTAGGTAGCCAGCAAAATTAGTTTAGTGCTAACCACCATAAATTTTAAAAGTTTCTGCTTATACATTGACATTCCCAAATGATCTTCAATGTAAAATTAATTTTTTGTTTTTAAATTTAAAGTGGCGATTCTGAATATTAAATACTCAATTAAAATACTATTAATACTAAAATTTAGTTAGCATTTTCAAAAGCTATGCTTATAACTTCTCTTATTAAATATTTTATCAGTTCCAGGTATTTTCAGGAAAGAAAAATACTTTTAAAAATGTTATTTATGCCCTTTAAATTAGTAGAGAAAACTCCATTTTAAATGGCAGTAAAAGAAATTTCTGGAAGCTGAATTCTCCCAAGGAAAACTTAGCCGATGGGGCCCTGGAAGGAAAGACAGGAAAAACCTCAAAACTCTAATCCTACCATCAAATAGCTTCTAACTTGTAGTAAATATTTGTAGTAAATGTAGCTTTGGAAATCCAATGGCATTGTAGTAAATTTCCAAAGCTACATATTTTATGGGAGGTGACTGTCCATCTTTCTCCCTCAGAGCCACTGATGGATTCCGGCTGCCAGAGACATGAGACTTTGTGGTTAGTGGTACAGCATGCTACATAGGGAAGAGGGATGTGTAGCTGCAGCACCCAGTCTGGTATTACAGGAAATACAAGACTTGGAAATATCAAGTGGTGGAGATAGAAGATCTTGATTTAAGAACATGCAATGAGTTTATGTTTTAACTTTCTAGGCTAGAAGTTTTCTGTGTTCATTACCTTCACGTCTTTCATGCAACATTCTTGTTAATAATGTCTTTGGGGAAACCATATTGAGATAGAAACATTTAACAGGGAAGAGAGAATTATTAATAAAGCCACTTAAAAGAAGGTTTTTAAAAAAAAAATACAATTTGTTAGGGAAATTAAATTTTTACTTTTGACATACATCATCATTTTATGTTGTCTTGAAAATGCCAATTCTCTTGCTGTTTTGGGGAACTTGAGTAAGGGACTGCACTGCCAACCAAAGTCACATAGTTTGAAACCATCAGTTGCTCCTCTAGAGGAAGCTGGACAGTCTCTGTCTGATTTTCTTTTTCTTTTTCTTTTTTTTCTCTTAATACTTTCTTTAAATTTATTATTAATTTCAATGAAAATGTACAGAGACTTTGGATTTCCATTCATTCATTGTTGTACTTTTCTCCCCTTCCAACCCTTTCCCACTGTGTCTAATTTTCTGACTCTGAAAGTCAGCTAGAGGATCAACTATGACTAGGTTGCTATTTGATAGTAAACAACAAGAAGTTTATTACTTTTTACCAAGTTTATATTCCTCTTTTAATTCTCCATTTCTGAGCAATTTACTGTGAGAATTTTGATACTCAAAAGTGTTACCGTGCAAGGATCAGCAAATTGGTTTTTGAGTTACTGTATACCTTGGGATAGTATAGTTCTGTCACTGAAGGATAAAGTAGCAAGTTCTTACCACTGTAAGAAGACACAGTTTTCCATCATAACTGTTAAGCATTTTTTCTTTGTTCTTGGGGTATGATGTTTTAGGGAGGGCGAGCTGGAGGGGAAGGGTTGATAGCTTTTTTGGTCTACTGTGTGACTCAGAATTTACATCACAAAGTTTTTGGCTCTTTATGTATTCCTTTCTGTATTTTTCTTTCCCTTTTATAGTGGTTATGACTTTGGCTATTTAATAAAAATCCTGACCAACTCTAACTTGCCTGAAGAAGAACTCGACTTTTTTGAGATCCTTCGATTATTTTTTCCTGTCATATATGATGTGAAGTACCTCATGAAGAGCTGTAAAAATCTCAAAGTAAGGTTCTGCTTTTTTCTGTAATCATCATACTTTCTATGCTGAATGATTGTGCTGAGGTCCTAGTGTAGACTGTTTCAAGACATGTTTGGGTTTTTTGGTGTTTTTTTTATTTAATATTCAGAACTGTTACATTAAGGAACTATAATGGTCAGAGGCTATGTTACAGTTCCAAAGACATGTGGTTCAAATCTACCATTTGCTCTGCAGGATAAGGATGAGCTTTCTCCTCCCTTATGATTTACTGCCTCTGAAAACCTGCTAGAGGCTCACCTATGTATGATTCAGTTCCAGCTGGGTGGCACACAACAGCAGCATCTGTTAGAGTAACTAGTCAGTTGGTTCTTTGTTCTCACCTAAAGAATTTAACAACTTTTGGAAATTTTTTTCCAGTAATTTAGTATATATTGCCAGAATACATTTTCAACAAAATTAAAAATAAGAGTTATGTTTTTGTTACTAATTCCCAGATTGAAAATTATGAATCAAGCCAAAAATCTGAAGGTTATGAGATAAAATCTGTGGTTGCTGTAAATGGACAGATGTATTGAGTAGCATGGTACAAAGAATTTTCTTTTTATGTTGTCTTAACTAAGGATCATTTTATTGGCTTTAATGAGAAAATAGTGTTTCAGTATAATTTCAGGATTAAGTAAGTAGAATTTCCAACCTGCTCTCCCCTGGCTTAAGAGTCTGCTTATTTAAGGGAAGCAATAAATATGTAAGCCCTTCCTAGACAGTCATTTACATTGTGCTGCTGCTTAAAATGTGTTTGGTAATTTCTTATAAATATTCCTTCAAAAACAATTTTTTTTTCATAGAGAAAAAAATATTCTTCAAAGATCCTTGACAATACAAATACTTGTTGTTTAAAATACAACTAATAATAAAAACTAAATTTTAAAATACAATTAAGAAGAGAACTCTTGTGGCAAGAAGCTGTGCTGCAGTCCCGAAGGTGCATGATTTGAATCCACCAAATGCTCCGCTGGAGAAGGAGAAGAAATCTCTTCCTGTACCAGTGGGATCAGATCCAACAGTACACGCCCAGGGAGGCAGGGGACAAACACACACATACAAAAATCACAGCTAAGAAACATTTAGATAAAAGTTTTAATGTTCCTTCTTTTTGCATCAAAACCAAGGTTGGTTTAATTTTTCCTCACCTAGTTTCAAAAGTGTAAGAATGGCGTTGGAGGTGGTAAAGAATTTAAGAACTTTGCCTGTAAGCAGAAATGAACAATATAGAATATGAATAAACAACTATTTTTTAACAAATGAACTGAAAATCTTAAGAGTCAGTCTCATTTGACCAAATTTGTTTGCCTTTAATACAGCCTGTAGTCAGTATAAACCCACTCATCCACTGCTGTTAAACATTGATTCCAACTCTTGACAACCCTACATTGGGTTTCTAAGAAGAGTTTGTCCATCTTCATCCCAAGGAGTGGCTAGTAAATTGGGCCTGCCCACCTTTTCGTTATTGGTGGTGGTAGTTGTTGTTGTTATGTGCCTTTGAGTCGCCTGTGATTCAGAGCGACCCTGTGTACAACAGCCCTAAACCCTGTTCTCTCCTGTGCCAGTCTCACTGCCTCCGACACACCCACTCTGATTAACCCAGTCACTGAATCAATCCACCTCATAAAGGGTCTTCTCCTACGCTGTCCCTACACACACACACACACACACACACACGAGCATGACATAGCCTAATTAATAATGTACTGCACAGAAGTACTCCTTGCCAGGGAACTTTTAAAGATTGCCTTATGTTTATATCAGTCAGGAACCACAGAATTCTGTGCAACTTGAGGACACTCTTCCTTTTGTGATTCAAGTAAATACGAGTTGTTTTTAGGTGCTGTAGAGTACGATTCATAGTGATCCTATCACCAACACATTGGAACTTTGTCCTATCCTTTGCCAACTTCACTATCGCTGACACACTTGAGCCCATTGCTGCAATCACCATATCAGTCCACCTGGTTGAGGGTCATCTTCTCTTTCACAATCTCTCCACCTTTCCAAGTATGATGTCCTTCTCCAAGGAATAGCGTCTCGCAACAACATGCCTAGAGTGTGTGAGATGAAGCTTCATCATCCTTGCCTCCAAGGTGCATTCTGGCTCAGCCTCTCCAAGACATAACCTGTTCTTTTGGAAGTCCGTGAGATATTCGCTACAATTTTCCAGTACCACAACGTAAAAGCATCAAGTTTTCTTCTGTCACCCTTATTCATTGTCTAGCTCTCAGACGCATAACAAGTGATTGAAAAACACGTGGTCCAAATCAGGTGCACCTTAGTCCTCTAACTCATTAGTCTTCAGAAATGTTGAGAGGTCTCTGACTATGGACTTTGCCAGTGCAGTATGTCTCCTCATCACCTGACTGCTAGTACCAAGTATATTGATTGTGGATCCAAGTAAGATGAAGTTTTTGACATTTTCAGTTTTTTCTCCATCCATTATGATGTCACCTATTAGGTCACTGGCAAGAACTTGTTTTCTTGATGTGATCGATATTGAAATCTGCAGTGGTTGATCCTCTACAACAAGTGTTTCAAGTCCTCCTCACTTTGAGCAAGCAAAGTTGTGTCATCTGCGTACTAAAGGTTATTTATTGATGAGTCTTCCTCCAATCTTGATGCTATATTCTTTTACATAGAGTCCAGCTTCTCAAGTAATTTCTTCAGTACACACATTGAATAAATATGGAAAAAGGCTATAATCCTGGCACATGTCTTTCATAATTTTAAACTATAGTGTTCTCTAGCTCTGTTCACACAGTTGCTGCTTGGTCTGGTTCCATGTTTCACATGAGCACAAATAATTTCTCTGGGATTCCCATTTTTTGCAATGTTAGCCACAGTTTGTTGAGACCCACATAGTCAGTTGCCTTTGTGTAGTGAATAAAGTATGAATAGACATTCTGGTATTCTCTGCTCTCAGCCATGATCCATCTAACCTTAGTAATGATATCCCTGGTGCAAGGACCTCTTCTGAATCCATATTGAACTGCTGGAAGATCTCTGTCTATGTACTCTTCTAGATATCCTTGAATCTTCAGCAGTATTTTGCTTGCATGTGATATTAATGATACTATTTGATAATTTCCATACTCTGTTGGATCACCTGGGAATAGTAACAAATATGAGTATGATATTCTTCTGTTGAGTCTGTTCTGACTCCTAGCAATCATTTACATGAGAAGAGTATCCATCTCTCTCACTTTGAGCTACTGATGGATTTGAACTGATGACCTTTTGATTATCAGCTTGATGTTATTATAGCTCTTAGCATAATTTTAGTACCCTATCCACAAAAGTATTGTTGAGAACCCAAAGTCACCATGTTTTAATTTGGTTATGGACATGGTTTTTGAAATTGTCATCTGTATAAGGACAATAAATATGTCTTAGAAAAAAGTGTGACCAGAATACTCCTTAAAGGTAAGGATTGTGAAATTTCTCTCACACACTTTGATAATGTTAGGAGGGACCAGTCCTTGAAAACAAAGACATCATGGTTAGAAAGGTAGAGAGGGTTGGTGAAAGAGAAGAAGACCCTCAACAATTTTAAAATTTAGCCCAAGTGACAAAGGTGCTTTTTAGCCTGCAGTCAGCCATATTATATGACCCTATTCTTTTGCTGTCCTAAGCAGTAAATGATATCTAATCCTCCTGCTATTTTTAACATAAGCATCTGCTTTGCAAAGCTCTATTTCAAGCTGTTATGTAGAGGATTAGTTTGTGTGTAGAGGCCATAGTAATTTAGAGAGGTATTTCTTTGTTGTATTGGTGGAACAGTTACTTTTTCTCTCTTTGTTCTGCCTTATTTTTTCTGTTCCCTCTTTACTTTTTACTCTCTATTTTTTACTGCCTGATTATTATCTTAGTTTTTAATCCTAGTAATATCGGCAGACTTTAGCAGAATCCTCTAAGAAGTTGTATACTTATATTGACTGTTTTCTCTTATTTAAAATAACAAACCATAGTTAATTATTTAGTGGATTCTTAATTATCTAATTGCCTATAATGCTTTTTTTAATAAAAATTATTTTGGTGAAAAAAACCAAACTCAAATTTTTGAGTTGGATTTGATAGGTTAAGAAGTTGAGAGCCTCCAAAGCTATTTGAGAAATGTTACTCAGTGTATGTTATTATTTTGTGTGTGTGTGTGTGTCTGTGTACCGTCAGATCAGATCTGACTGGTACAGGAGGAGATTGTCCCTCCTTTCCTGGCAGAGCATCTGGTGGATTCGAACCATGCGCCTCTGGGATTGCAGTGCAGCTTCTTGCCACTAGGCCACCAGAGCTCCCCCTCAGTGTATGATTTGTTTCCCCTATAGCTTTAGGCTATAAAGAATTTTCCTGTTAAATTCTTTAAACCTGATGAAGATAAATTTTCCCAATTAGAAACTCATTTTCTGTTACATTCTGTTGCATTCAATAAATGTATTAGTAATACACATTCCCCAGTTTTGTCTAGTCTTCATAGGCCTGTCTTACTACATTAGGATTTGATGATATAGTGGTGAGTTGTATAATGTGTGAACTCAGGAATCATCCTTTCTCTTTTTCAATTGGTCATTTTTATTTCTTCTAGGGTGGATTACAGGAAGTTGCTGAGCAGTTAGAGCTGGAGAGAATAGGACCACAGCATCAGGCAGGATCTGATTCATTGCTTACAGGAATGGCCTTTTTCAAAATGAGAGAAGTATGAAGACATCAGTGCCTTTTTCTCAATTGGTTATATTTTTAGAACATTGAAAATCTTAACTCTGGCCAAGTTACTGGGCAATAAGGACATGTTGCATTATAATTAGGTAACATATAGGTCATATGTATTATGCTGGAATGAAGGTACTCAGAAACTTAAAATACCAGTTACTATTGTGTCAATTCTGGATAATGATCACCTCATGTGTGTTCCATAGTTTTCAGTAGATGAATTTTTGAAGGTAGATCACCTGGTCTTTCTTCTGAGATAACTCTCAGTACTCAGACCTCCCCGTTTATCAGTAACCAGCCAAGTGTGCTAATCATTTGCAACACCCAGAATTCATTAAAAGATTAATTTTTTTTTAAAAGATTAATCTTAAACTGTAGTTCAGAAAGAAATGGAAGAATAAGTTTTTTGTAGAATCAAAACTTTAAATTGTCTTAGAAATTATGTAGACCCAACCAATTTTCCTTAGATGCAAAAATGAGACTGGAAATACTCTTTCAGTTGTAAAGGGAATAGTATTTTAAAATGGCTGTGAAATAATTACAGATAGGCCATTTGCATTTAAAAAGTCATATTTTAAATAGTTTTTAGCTCATAATTTCTAAAAGAGCCTCTGTGACCTACAACAGATAATAAACTGCCGAGTAAGTTTTTATCCAAAGGTCACATAAATTACTGATGGAGAAATCAGAGGTTCTTTCTAGCTACTTCCACCAGTCATCGTAACCATGTCCTAGATTTACCTTAGATCATTGCCTTCTCTTAGGCATTAATCTGCTGATAAAAAGTATTCCATCATGTCTTTAGTGTTCTGATATAAAGTTTTATAGAGTAGCACTGATGCTTTTTTACTACATTAGGTATTAGTGGAGGAGTTTTAATTCTGTTAAATAAAGTGGAACTTGTTGAATCAGAAATCATACTGGCAGACTTCCTTCATTTCCATAAGGTGGAGATCAGTTCTGCAGTACAAGGAGCTTAGGTCTGAAAGTTTATAGAATTTAATACACAAGTTTTCTTTTGTGTTGTGTACTGTTGAGTTAGAACTGACCTATAGGTGACCCTTCAGTGGGTTTTCAGAGGCCATTAATTGCATAGGGGGCAATTACCCCTCCCAAAGAGCAGCTGCTGGTTTCAAACTACGTGCCTTCGTGATTTCAGTGCAGTGTTTTACCACTTGGCCATCAGCGCTTTTAGGTAATTGATGTAGTTGCAGTGTGCAGGTATATCTTGCTGTAAATATGTAGGTATACCTCACTGTATAGATACGCCCAAAGAGATGAAAAACAGAACTACAAAACAATACAGTGGACTTTTTTTTGCTTATTAATAAGATTTTTTTTGCAAAATACAAAGTCTGGAATTCTAAGTATATCCTCTCAGTTTTTAAAGAACTGACTTAGAATTAAAAAACTTTGTTTTAGAAATACTCAATGAAAAGCAAGCTTTAGTAATGAGTCAGATTGTACCTACCTTAAAAGTTTGGTTTTGATTTTGGTATTTTCTGTACTTTCTGATGTTACATTTATAGGATTAAAACCACTTTTGAGTTTTTAGCTATGCCTTTTTTTTTCTCCTTAAAAAAAGCCCTTTTGCTTCAATTAATGCTGAATTCTGTAGCACTAATTTATAATCTTCATTTGTCTTGACTTCTTCAAGGACAGTAGCCCAGTGTAAATGTTTAGATTTTACGTCCCAGAATGTGTTTAATGTTTTGCTTTCTTTTTTTTTTTGCCACCTACCCTTCAAGGCAACTTTAAAACTTAAACATTTTTTTCACTTTTATGATTGACTATTTTAATTTACTCTTTACTGTTGAGTAGTATTAACATACTGGGATAAAAATGTCTGCCAGTTTTCCATGATTGCAAAATCACATAAATCTGGTCTAAATGTTAATAAGGAAACAATTTGTTCTTTTTTTTTTGGGTAATTTTTTAAAAAAATTTCTTTGAAGTGCTCTAATTCTTAGGGATGTCAGTTTTACTCCTTGAATTTAAATGTGTAGTCTCAGAGAAACACCATAGGAAATACCTGTCATACATTACTGAAATAAAAATTATTGCAAGTGGTTCTTTTTGGTTAAAATATCTTTTTTTTTCTTTTTCCTTTTTTTCCCAAAATTCCTTTTTAGATGTTCTTTGAAGATCATATTGATGATGCCAAATATTGTGGTCATTTGTATGGCCTTGGTTCTGGTTCATCCTATGTACAGAATGGCACAGGGAATGCATATGAAGAGGAAGCCAACAAGCAGTCATGACATGAAATAGCCCTTTTTATTTTTATTTTATTTGAGCTACACACATGCTTGTATATAGGTTTTATCTCTGGTTGAATCCCTTGGACAGTAAATAATACCTTATTTTTCCCTTTGATAGTCTTATTTTCTACCTTTGAGTACTAAGTATGACCATCCCTGTCTCAGATTTTAATAAATAGAAAAGCATTCAGGTTACATTTGGCCCTAATTTGATACACTTGTTAGCAAGCGTGTGTGATAGGAGTAGGAAAAGCGACATCTTAATATTTTTATAAACTTTACCTACTTGGGCTTGGTTTGTTCCCCCCCCCCCTTTTCCTAAATTAACTAGCACTGACTGTAATTTATTTCCCTATTTCATGTCTCTCCCTTCCATTCTTCAAGAGTTTTAGCTATTTGAGATTGTGGACCATCAATTTTGCACTTTAGAGAGTGACTCTGAATCAGATCCTCTGTTTTATCAGAAATTTATTTTTCTTGCTCTTAGCTGGGGGAAAAAAAAAGACCGTTTGCCAACTTTTTCAGTATTTGCTTGTTTTTGACCCATGGGATATAGCACATTCATTGTGCAAACTGTTGATTCATCAAGACTAACAAAAAAGGACAAAAGAAACTACTGAGGAATTTAGTAACTGCTCTTCTCTACATAGCAGTTAATCTTCCAAGCACATCTAGTGTCTGTCAGTTTCTAATAGACATATGTAGGCTGCTCTATGAAGAATTTTTCAAACCAGCTTTACACTCTTCAGGAAAAATTCCTTGTGATTGGATTTTGAGTATCTGCCAGGAAACTGGTATAAAAGATGTTAACTCTCCAGATAGTTTATGATAGCACACACCCCTTAATCTCCTTCTCTTATTCCATCACTCTATACCTTATTTTTAATTTTATAGCCATACTTATGATGCTCTTGATTTGTTGATTCTACAAATCAATTTCATTAAAGTCCAAAGATAGCAAGATTTTAGGTGTATCTTGTACCAAATTAGAAGACAAAAATTGTGCTTTCATAGTTGCTACAAAGATAAATAACAGTGAGATTTTGGTGCAAAACAACAAAATACAGTATATAGAAATAGTATATTGTATTTTGTGTGTGTATATATACATATATGTAAGTGTATATATACATACAGATAAATGTAGCTGATAGTTACCTGAGGCGTGTAATGCTTGTTTATTTTTTTGTGTATATCTTTGCAATCTATTTTATATATATTGACAAAAGAGACTGTGAAATATTTAGCCATGCAGAATATGTGACCAGACCAGAGCATGTGTAGGAAGATGTTTTGGTAATCATTAACTCTACCCTAAAATGATGGACTGCAAGTTATGATGTTTGTTATTTACACTTTAATCAGTAATTCTAGCAAATCTCCAGATGTTAGCCACATTGGTTTGTTTCCTTGTACATTCTTTATTCATGATATTACAGTGCTGTAACTGGGTGGTCCTTTTTAAACAAAACATTATTTGCAAACAGAGGGTATTATTTGTTTTTAAAGCTTTTGTAAATAAAGGCTTCAGAAATGTTTTCTTATATATATATGTTGATGACTGATGATTTTGTTTATAAATATTTATTTGAGTAGTAATATTCTGTTTGTATTGGGGCAGCTGAATAGAACTCATTTACTTCCTTTAACTAGCTGGTTTTTAGTCTTTTAACAGAAAAATCACTCTGAGCCTTCATCATTTCAGCAGTGTTGACTTCTTGCTCTTTCTGTGTACCTCAACAGGATATTAAAAATCTATTTTTGTCTCCTTTCGAAGAATGCATTTATTCTGAAAGACTTGCACAGTAAATGCATTATGGCTTATTTTTAAAACAGGCACAATATAGCAAGTCACTGATTGGTTTATATTCAATGTCTTGAAAAATACGAATTATAAAATTTGCTTTTTCAATAGCTATATAGTTAACTGAATTTTACAACTGACATCATTTTTTTATTCTCTCCTGAAGAAGTAATACTTCATAACTGCTACAAGAAGAGTGTTAACAGTCTTTACTAACTCTAGCTTTTAAGTGTATTTGACTAGTGTTTCTTTAATATTCTTGAACCATTTATTTTTGAGTCATTCTTTAGTGTTAAATCTATTAAAGGAGGAATGTGCAGAATACATCCTAGGAAACAAAATTAACCTGCTGCTATTTTTAGATGAGTGTTAAGCAGAGAATTGTTTTTATGTTTTTAAATGGTTGGGCTTGAAGTGAAATCAAAAGAATAATTCTGACACTTGAAAATTATATGAAATTTAAGTTTCAGTGTCTATAAATAAAATTTTACTGAAATTTACCCATGTTCATCATTTACATATTATTGTCTTTGGCAGCTTTCACACAACAATCACAAAGTTGAGTAGTTAAGAAATTGTTTACGATATACTTAACCTGGCAGGGGAGATACCATGATCACAAAGGAGGATTTCTCAGGGTGAGGCTTATCCATTGCTCTCTGGATATGCTGACCCCTGTGATTTCCTCAAATGTGGGAAACTCGACTGCATAATTTGTGGTAGTGGGAGACTGCATTCACACTTTCCCTTGGGTGGGGGTGGGGCTGGAGGGGGACAGAAATTGCTTATGTTGCTATCAGAGTTTTGACTTGATGCTTGGCGTGCTGAACCACAGAGGCAGGCACAGATAGGATCTGACAGCAGCATTTCAAGTGCTGTGTATTAACACCCCTCAAAATTATGCTTTATTTTTATAATTAGAAATCAATTATACATATATTAATTTTATAATTACTGTGCTATTAAGACATAATAAAATGTGAAGGGGAAAAGATAAAATGAAATATGGATATTTCTGATAACATGGTAAAGCACTGCTATGATGCAATGACAATATTGCTCTGCTAAAGGAATACACTATGTTTTAAGGTTACCCTACTCAGCACTCATCACAATATCCCCAGATGGTGGGAGAGCAGCAGTCACAAAAACATATGTATTAGAAGCTATAATTTCTTTTCTCTCCATGATTTCTTCTAAATGTAGGTGTGTTACAGCAAATCACAGCACCATTTGCTTTGTTGATTGGGGTGGCAGGGCATATGAGTTTAGTGTCTCATTGTTAGCGGATCTCTGTTGGCGTAGTAGTGGTAAGGAATCACGCTGCCAACACAAAGGCAAGCGTTTGAATCCACCAGCTGGTCTTCACTTCAGCAAGCAAGATTGTGTTATCTGTATAATGCAGGATGTTAAGTTTTCCTCCAATCCTAACGCTACAGTGTTCATATAGTCAAGCTTCTCAAATGACGTGCTCAGTATACAGATTAAATAGGTACAGGGAAAGGATAAACCCTGATGTACACCTTTTCTAATTTTAAGCCATGCAGTGTTCTGTTAATTTCAGACAACTGCTTCTTTTATCTGTGTATAGGTTTCAAATGAGCAGTTGTGGGTGGTTTGTTATCTACAAAGTCAAATGCCTTTACATAATAAAAGAAGTACACACCTTTCTGGTATTCTCCATTTTCATCCATTATTTGTTGTTCTGTGCCATGTAACGCAAGTTACCTGTAAGGCGTAGCTGCCCTATGTAGGGCAGCTCTGAAGCCTGCCTTGTCCTGAGCCAGTCTTACTAATCCAGCACACCAATCCCCATTGCCCCATTACTGTATCCATCTCATTCAGAGGCATCCTTTCCTGCGCTGCTGTTGCTCCACCTCTCTGAACTGATGTCCTTCAAAGACCAGTCTCTCGTGGCCACATACCCAAGTATGTGAGCCAGAGCTTCAAAATCCTAGCCTCCAAGGACAGACTTGGTTTCACCCCCTCCAAGACAGACCTATTTGTTTTCTTGATGGTCCTTGGTATGTTCAAGACTCTTCTGCAGCACCACAACCCAAAGGCATTGATTCTTTAAGTGGTAACTGTTCTGCTACTACAACCTCTTGAGTCCAGCTTGACTTTCTGGAAGTTCCCTGTTGATGCTCTGTTTGAAATATATTTTCTTTTTAATTATTACTTTGTGTGTATGTGCTGTCAAATTGTATCTGACTGGTACAGGAGGAAATTGCCCCTCCTTCTCCAGCAGAGCATCTGGTGGATTTGAACTGTGTACTTCTGGGATTGCAGTGCAGCTTTTTACCACTAGGCCACCAGAGCTCCTGTTTTACTTTTTTTAAAAATAATCTTCAGCAAGCAAAATTTTAGTTGCATGAGATATTAATGATGGTACATGAGATATTAATGATGCTACTCAATTAGTTCTTGTTCTGTTGTATTGTTACTAGTCAGAACCAACTCATAGCTAACCCTCCAGCAGGTTTTCAGAACCTATATATTGTACAGGAGGAGATGGATTTGAACCATGTGCCTTTGGTTTGGAAGCAGAACTACTTATCCAGTAGGCCACCAGAGCTACATTCTTTTGGATCATCTTTCTTTGGAATGGGTACAAATATGAACCTCTTCCAATTAGTTGACCAGGTAGCTGTATTCCAAATTTCTTGACATAGTCTAGTGAATACATCCTGAGCTGCTGTTGAAATACGCCAATTGCTATGTTGTAAATTTCCATGGTCTTGTTTTTGGCCATTATTTTCCATGTAGCTTGAATTTCTTCCTTTATTACTACTATTGATCATATACAATGTCTTGAAATGGTCCAGTGTTGACCAGTTCTTTTTGGTACAGTGATTCTCAGTTTCTCCCATCTCATGATGCTTCCTGCATCATTAAGTTTTTGCTCATACAATCTTCAGTATTCAAGGCTTGAATGTTTTTTCAGTTCTTTCAACTTGAGAAATGCTGAGCATGTGGTCGGTATTTATCTTCAGCTCTTTGCACATTTTGTTATACTACCTTGTCTTCTCAAGCTCCCTTTTGAAATACTCTTCATATCTCTTCAGCATTTCTTCCCTTTGTTTTGACCACTGTGTGTTCTGGTGCAAATTGCAGAAGTCTTCCAACATCTATTTTGTTTTTGCCTTTCCCTCGTGTTTTTGTAATAACTGCTTTCTTCATGGGTGATACCATCCTACAACTCATCTGATCTCTTTGGCATTAGTGTTCAGTGCATCAAATCGGTTCTTAATAAGGTTTTTCAAGTTGGGTAGGGATATATTTAAGGCTGTGGACTTGTTTTAATTTTCTTCAGCTTCGATTTGAACTTGTACATAATTAATTGGTCATCTATTTCACAGTCTGTTCTGCATATAGATTG